TTCAAGCACTTAACGTATTGTCTGGTACCTGAAAAAGACTTGTTAAATGAGAGAACTAATTATGGTAGGACTTTTTGAGGAAATCTCTGGAAGGAATGTGATTGAGATCCTCTCAGTGCATGAGGCCTAAGCAAAAAGAGCCTCATTCTTAAAGTTGATGGAGACAATGAAATCAGAGGATAATGAAGTTGGTCTATTAAGGAAAAATGAAAACAGAACTGAGACTCTTAAGTTTATCAATTAGCATGACTCTCTAATCCAGGAGCCAAGATTAGAGGATGAGCAGTAACATGGGAGTAAACAGATGTTCTGGAACAATTATTTGGTTGTTCTGGATTATACCACAGTTTTGATGTGGTATATACTTAGAGCCAGAGGCTGGATTGAAAGTTCTCCATGACACTCTAAGTTACATAAGACATTTTCTATCCATCTTATTTCCCCTTCCGTTCAGTAGAGGTTGCTTCTATTGAACAGTTGGGATCCTTACCCTCTTTCACTCTAAAAGTTCATCAGCTTCCTTGCTTCACTTCTATCTGTATAATTTCCTATATGATAAAGAGGGAATATGCAAATTGAGCATCGCTCCACCACAAAGATGGCAGCACCCACAGTGGAGGGGGGTGTTTCTATAACACCAGATGACTGGGCCCACAGCAAAGGTTTCCGTGACACAAGATGGCTGCACCCAAAGCGAAGGCCGAGTTCCTATAACGAGCCTTAACGAGTAATCAGCAGGGACGCAAGGCTGCACTCCCCTTCCCCCGCCCCCATGGGGCTTGACAGGGGACCTCAAGGTGCTCCCTCCCACCCTGGCCCAGGCTGGGGGACCTCAGCCACACCCCCCACCCTGGCGCTGGGCCTGGGGACCTGAGGCTGTGTCCCCTACCTGGTGGAGTTTTACAAGGGTGAGCCCAGCCTAGTCTGGATCTAACCAAATGGGGGGCCAGCAGGTCTGGGTCTTGTGTGATTTTGAGGTGCATGTGGGTGGGTGGGGACTTGATTCTGGATCCTGTGGTGTGCCTCAGACTTGATAGGAGGAAGATTTTCATATACATTTTACTAATTTTCTTTCATCTCTGACACTTATAGAGAAAGGGCAAGTAGCAATATTAAAAGATTTCCTCCAATTAATCCCCTTTTAATGTGCATGAATTTCATTCACGGGGACGCTAGTTTCTATTATAAAACTCCATCTTGGTCTAGTAGTTTAGTGAATGAGCTTTATTGTTATGTCCAAACCCTCCTTTTTACTTCTGTTTGTTTGACTTTGGTTAAATGACTTACCATCTCTGCAGCCTCAGCTGACTGATCTGTGAAATGAGGAAAATTAGAGTTCCAATCATTTAATAACACATTTTTGTTAGTAAAGTGGCCAAAGTGTGGGTATTTCTCTTATACAAAAGAAGTAAACCAGTATAAATGTTATCAATATTGGCTTAAACCCAGAAAGTAATTTTCTATTTTCAGTCTTGATTTGTAGGACTAAGTTTCTGATTACCCCATAAGGTGTCATGAACTTAAATGCCTATAGAGGCCAGGAAAGTGAATGAGTTGCACCATTTAAATAATTTGCCTATGAAACACATAGGTTTTCCTTTTCTACATTTTCAGATTTTTCAAGAGAATCTAGAAATTTGGTTTTTAATGCAAAGTTTTCTGATTTTAAATGTTGGCAATTAAGAATTTTAACTTGTAGTAACTCTGAGTAAAAGCCTATCTATAGAATCTAATATAGTCCATAGGATGCTGATTTTCAAATTTATGCCTTTTATCTTGTGACTAGAGGCCCAGTGCATTGGATTCGTGCACTGGGCATGGTATGTGGGCATTGATCTGCTGTGGAAGTGCTGCTCACCCTGGTCAGCCCCGTGGCTGTGGACCCACCTTCCCAGCGGCTGCTCCCTGGTCTGGCATCTTCTGTGGAGCTAGAGCACTCACCTGTCCAGGGGACCGAGTCAGGGCTGGGCTCAGGGACAGTAGCACTGAGAGGTCATTCCACCATTCGGTCACTGGGCTTTTGTTATATAGGATTAGCTCTCTATGGTGCTTTATTAAGAACACTTAAGAATTGCTTTAAAAATATTGATATGTTTAATTTTTAAAGAGATGTCCATTCTTTATATTCTTATTAGAGGCCCGATACATGAATTCATGCATGGGTGGTTTCCACCCAGCCCACCTCAATGGGGGCCAATTGGGCTAGGCTGGTAAGAAGTGGGGATGTGGAGGGTTGGCCAGCCAGTCAACCCACCCTCAATCAGGGTGAAATGGGCCCATCAGGGCTGGGGCCAGATGGGAGGAGGAGCTGAGGGCAGTTGGCTACCAGCCCTACTCCCTGGTGGAACTCGAAGTTGAGGGGACAATTTGCATATTAGCCTTTATTATATAGCATTCTTATATTTGGTCTAAAATATTGGATGTCAAAGTATGAGTCATATACCAAAAATGGCTATGTAGGTGGTCTGTAATACAACGTAGTACAGACACATGAGAGAGCCTAGATAAAGCTCCCAGCCAGCACTGGTAGAAATAGGAGGGAGTTTTAATAAGAGCTAGTTTACTGCGGGGAAACTCATTCATCCTTGATTGAGCAGCTTTATGAAGAAGCCATAATTGACAACCCTGTCTTCCTTACTTGTGTATTGCTCTGACAAAGGCCACAGCCTATCTTGCTTATGGGCGGAGGGACTAAGAAAGCCTCACTGAAGATAATATCTAACACCTGGTTCATTCTTCATCCACTACAGAAAGACATCACTTTACACTTACTAAAACTTCTCTGCTGTAGCACAACTGGCATAGATAGCCTATAAGTATAGAATGAATTAAAGAATTCTGGCTTTTGAATTTTTAGCTTCTTTTTTTTTGGAGCTGAACATTAGATGATGCAAATAAATGGGGTGGTAGCCATAGTCTGTACATTCCTTCTGTTGAAACCCCTAGGCACCTTCACTCTGTGCCTGAGGTTTCTCATCTGTAAATGGAGATTATAGTCATCCCAGCAATATTGGATTGTTACATGGGTTAATTTATTTAAGAATTAACATGTAAAGCATTTAAAAGAGTCCCTTAGCATATGTTAAACACTCAGTCAGTGTTAGTTGTTGTTGCTATATCTTTTGTATGTGCTAAGGTTTATTGTGCTGCTTTAGGGTTTTGACTAACAAAAGAATAAGAATAATTACCTGAAATGATGCCAATGTCAAGGTTTGGAAAGAAAAGTAAGCACAGATTCAAAGTAAAGAGGCCTAACCCCCACATCTATTCCTGTCACCTGAATGAATCTGTTAACCTCTTTGGGTTTTGGTTTCCTCATTTATAAAATAAGAAGAGTAGATTAGATGTCTTCAGAGGTCCATTTGTAAAACTGAATGAGATGATAGAAAAGGTTTGGGGGGAATTTGAAAGAGGTCATGCTGTAACAAAAGATGCTAAGAGGGGTCAATTTTCTACTTGAAAGAATTGAATATGCTTTCAGAATTTTCTTAGGAAAATTAATGTTCACCATATTGTTCACAGATTTAAACCATAATGCAGTATTTTTCTTAGGCTACCAATTAAATATTTTTTGTCCTTATCCCCCCTCCTCCCCGTAAAGAAAATTAGAATTCTTGTTCCTGCTCAATAGCAAAGAAATTAATATTTAATCTTTTGTGTGTTTAAGTAGCACAAGGGAATGCAGAGGCCAGGTGGCTGAGAAACCACACTTGTTAGCATACATGCTGTAAAATTCAATCCTGTGTTAGTAGGTCAGACAGATGAGAACTGAAAAATATGCTGTTTTGAATTGTTAATGACAAAGATAATATTTCATGATTTTGTTTACAAGTCTCATTTATGTAATAGTTGTCTTACCCATCTCTCAAATTAATGTTTGTCTATCTTTTTATAAGAATATACTTAAACTTTTATTTTAGTACCATATCATATCACAAGACAAGAAAATTAGGTTGGTGCTTCAGCTAAGTTTAGGGTATATCAGTTGATTTTTGGATATATATTAATTTTTTTAGATCAGTGAATAGCAAGTTTGAAAATTGGGAAGGACCTTATAAATAGTTTTTCCTAAATTGTACACCTCTGGTAATATCCTAATAATCTATAAATAGTCTAGAAAGTATGGTTTATAACATAATTTGCATACAGTTAAGTTTTATATTCTGAGAATTGAGTATCTTGACATAATTTTTGGCTATCCTATCTAATAAAGAGGGAATATGCTAATTGAACCTCATGCATTGCAAAGATGGTGGTGCCCATAGCCAAAAAGGAGGGAATATGCTAATTGACTGCCCTTCCCTCAAAGATGGCAGTGCTCTTAGCCACAAGATTGCAGCACTCAGTCCTCTCAGCCCTGTCAGGGTGGCAGGTTCCTGACAAGGCACTGCCATCTTGTGGCTGTGGGTGCCTCCTGGGGGTGGGCTTGGCCACTCTGCTGGCCTGCTCCAGAGTCCCCCAGTCCCCTCAGCCCCAAGCTGCCCAGGGCCAGCCCAAGGCACATGCAAACCTCGGATGGTGGCTGCCCAGCCACCCAGGGACATCTGAGGCTCAGGTAACCAGGGCTGGCCAAGGTTTGCTTTGCTGGCACTGGCAGCAGCAGAGGTGTAATGGAGTATTGCCTTCCCCTGACCACCAGGTTGCCTCCCACCCCTAAGGGCTCCCACTATGAGAGGGGGCAGGCCAGGCTGAGGGACCCCCTTTCTCCCAGTGCATGAATTTTTATTTTCATGAACTGGGCTTCTAGTAGTTTATAAATAATTGAAAACAATTATAACATATGAGACCTAACTAAGGAAGATACTAGGATTAGTAATTTTCTGTATTTATTTAAAATGTGGTCAAAATAACTATAAATATGTGTGAACTTTCATGACAGTATTTTGGGGTAAGGAGCTTTCAGAGAGTTGAAAGTCTCAGTAATGCTGCTAGCAAATGTAATGCTGCTAGTCACGCAAAGGGAGCATTTCAAACTTTATTTCTATTTTAATATATTTCAGAGACCATCATGCAGACATCAGAGACTGGGTCGGACACAGGTTCAACAGTGACTTTACAGACATCTGTGGCTAGTCAAGCAGCAGTGCCTACACAGGTGGTACAGCAAGTACCAGTACAGCAACAGGTAAGGAGCCGCTGTTGTCAGAGCAGATGCTGAGCCTTTCGTTGTGCAGACTGTGTTCAAGAATGATTTGAATTATCCTTTCTGGCACAGTGGGTGCTAAGATAGGCCTAGTTCAGTTCATGAGTTAATTCAGCACATGTTTCTTGAGCACTTCCTAGATAGTCTAGATTGTTTTTTGCTAGATTGTAGGGATACCAATGTAAATACTCAAACAATACAATTCCTATTCTGAAAGAGCCTCTTAAATCTTAAAGAGAACATTTGTTTCTGACTTGACCACCTGAAGGAGATTTTAGTCTCCTCTTTCCCCTCACTGCTCTTTATCACAACTTCCTATTTTTTTTTTTCATATTGAAATGTCAGCAATCATGTTTTTCTGTAATTGCCTCACAGCAGTACTTAATAAAGGAGAAGATGGATGTACCTTGTAGGCAGAGATTTTGTCTTTGTGATATTTTAGAAAGTGCCTGGGTGAGTGATAAATGCTTTTTAATGAAAATTAAATTATCTTAAAGGTCTGGAGGTCCGATTCATTCCATTTAAAAAATTGAGAATGAATGAATTCCTCATCACATGTTTACTACAGGGCTGATTCATACTCGGCACTTGGCTTGTTTGGGAAAGACACTGACAAACTAATGCTGTTCAGGCCAGCTAATAGTTCTGCATGTGGACTGTGCACACATCGGCCTGTCATTTCTTCTGCAGTGGAGAGAAAATAAGTGAGAAAGGTTATGTCACAGAGCATGTTGACATTTTAGATTTTCCCATAATTTTTTAGTATCAAGGAGAATCTTTAGCAAATCTTGCTCTTATAATTATAAACAAGTAGGGAGAGTAATATCTTTTCCTAAATGATAGAGGGATTCAAGGTAATATTCTTTTCACAAGATAGAAGTTGGTGTGGCAGGAAGAGTGCTAGAATTAGCAAAGTTCTTTGAGTCAGAGTTAAAGATATTTGAAGTTTTGTTTTTAGCTCACCCTCCTGGTCTCTATCACACACACACACACACACACACACACACACACACACACACACTTACACTTATAGTATGAGTCGAACTATATATAATTGTTATCTATAAAAAGCAACAGTTTCATATGATTCAATTTACTAATTGTGTTTCTTATCTTTCTTATCTTTATTTTTCATAAATAAGTCTACCCAAAATGGTGTTTTAAAAGCCTCTGCTATTATTGATGTCATCACCAATTTCTGGATGCTGAACATTACTCAGAAGAGGTGGCTTATGACATGTTGTCCAAAGAGCAGGTGGAGAACTATTAGGACAGTGTTATATCGAATTTTAAAAAGATAATCTATCAATATTAAGCAAATGTTGAACAATAGCACACACTCTGGTTGGATTTTTGTCTCATTTCTGAAAGAGGAATGGTCGTGGAAGTATCTGTCTCTTACAGTAATGTGGTAGACATCATATTCCTATCCCCAGAAAGTGCCCTCTTGAGACAGTGAAATGTCTGCATACCTGCCCCTCTCTCCTAGTCTCTTTTCTTCCTCCCTTCTTTTTTCCCTTCCTCTCTCCCTCTTTCCTGTTCTTAAAAAATCTTTTTACTGAGTTTAGATATCATCAGATAATTACTATGTAGATCTTATATAGTAATTTAAGAAGTCAAATAGTTTGACAAGTTTATTATTTTAAAAAAACACACACACAAAAAAAGAAAAAACAGTCCTCAATCTCCTTCTAATCCTATGAACTTCTCAGAGGCAACTGTTTTTGCCTCTTTCTACCTATTATTTTGATATTTACTTCCATGTTGTAAAAAATAATACTTATTTTATTGTGTTTTTTAAAAAAATTTATTTTTATTGATTTCAGAGAGGGAAGGAGGGAGGGAGAGAGAGAAAGAGACAGAGAGAGAGAGAGAGAAAGAAACAACAATGATGAGAGAAAAATCATTGATCAGCTAGCTGCCTTTTCCATGCCCCCCACTGGGATCAAGCCTTCAATCCCATATGTGCCCTGATAGGGAATTAAACTGTGACCTCCTGGTTCATATGTCAACACTTAACCACTGAGCTATGCCAGATGCACTATTTTACTTTTTTGTGTGTATTTGAGTTTAACACATTATCATATCATATCCCTCTTTCTGGTTCTTAACACACACACACACACACACACACACACACACACACACACAAACTGTCCACCCCTTAAGCTCCTGGTATACTATGTTAACTATATTCATTTTTAATCTACAAAAACAACAAACAGTTTCATATGTTTCAACCTAATAATTTATTTTAATTTTGGTAGACCATTACTCAGTACTTATATCTCCATTATATGTATGAGTGTTATATAAATCTAGCCATATAGTGAACTGTGTAGGTTCCTACAAAACATACTTGCTGGATTTAATGATCAGATGTTTTCTTAAGGAAGTCTCTCAGAGCATTTTGATCTCTCCAGTCTGGATTCAGTGTCCGTTGCTCAGCTAGGATCTCCTTTTGCCATCATCCTGGGATTGTCTTAGGTTGGCTTTCCTGTTCCCTGACTCAGTGTCTTAAATTCTTTCTTAATTTGCTTGAGCACAACTTCCAGTAACTTCCTAAAAAACTGTAAATCTTTTGAGCTCTTATGTGTCTGAGAGATAATTTATTTATCAGTTGTTTTGTAGTTGAATGGGTACAGAGTTTTAGATTAGAAATAATATTTTTCAGAATTTCAAAATGATTGCTATGGAAAAGTCAAACACTACTCTAATTCCTGATCTTTTGTGATTTATTTTCTCTCTGAACGTTTATGTAATGTCTTAAATCCCAGTTGTTGTTTTTTTTTTATATTTATGATGTTGTGTCTTGATGTGGGTATTTGTATATGTTGTGCTGGAATTTTGGTGGTCCTTTTCAATCTGAACATTCATGTTCTTCAGTTCTGGCAGATTGTCTTCAATATTTTCATTTATTATTAACTCATCACTTCTTCTAACATAGTTATAATTTTCAAGGGCTTTTAAAAAATTTCCTGTACCTTTTCATACCATCATACTTTATTTCTTTTTAAGTTGTTGATTTTTTCCCTCTATTTTATACTCAGATTCTTTCAAGCTACTTTTTTTTACTCTATCATTTGTTTTAGAAGCTTTTCTCAGATGTCTGATAATCTTTGGATGTTTATTCATATTTAAAATTCTGAGGATAAATGGGTGGTTTGAATGCATGATTAGTTATGGTTGACTTTAGTACAGTGTCATATTCTGGGCTTTTTAACTAGGGACCCTCTTACACTGGTCATATTTTTAAAGAAGACTTCTTTAGCTTCCTGCCAAGTGGATGAATGCTTGGCTCCTAGGAGCTGAGTAGAGGAAAACAGTTGAGTGTTTCTTGTACTAATTCACTTAACCCTTCTCTTTTTCATGTGGTATCAACATCACCTCTGTTTAGTCTTCCTCAGAGTTTAAATAAAAAATAAACCACACTTGTACCAAAGTTGTGGAAGCCAGTCACCTTGTGTCATGGAGTTGATGAAGGGGATCTGCTTGCTTCTTAAATAAAATCACTTTTTATGTTAGATACATATATTGAAAACCAAAAGTGAAATTGCTACCAGAAGAGAAAAACCAGTATCACCACCAGCCATAAATAAAAGATAACATATACACATACTTTGTTCATGTCCTCAGAAAAAAATATTATGTACAGGTGGACCACATTTTGGAAAACATGGTATTATGCCATATGGCTTGTTCCCAAAGGTATATTTTTCAGTTCCTTAATTTATTTCATTCCTTTTGGACACTCAAGGCAGGTGGTACCTTAGATTCCCTTATACCAAGCAAAGAAGCTGGGAACACTCATTTTCTTTTTGTCAACAAAGTGTTTTATTTTATGTAATGGATTAATGTGATATTTGTCTGGAGGTGGCCATTCAGTTGTCCTTTCAGAATTATTTAGAAGGACTGCTTTCTCCTTTGTAATTTCCCCCCTGCTAGAACAGTGTTGTGTTTGAAGCTCCTTGGTGCAACTGTATGGCCCCTGTGGTTGTAAATTGTCTGCATCTGATGAGATTAATGCTATAGGAATTTCTTATTGCTCTTACTTGTCTATAATTTTTGTTTTGTTAATGTTCTAATGGCATCTTGAGTGTTTAAACTGTCTTAGAATATCTTTAAAATCTTCTAGCTTTTGCCACTGACCCAGGATGGATTTGAAATTATGGTGTTGATGTCAAAGGTGGTTACTTCTGTTGATTAAACTTTTCATTGTGTCTTTGCCATGATCACTTTGATGTAAAGGGAAAGCCTATAGCTTACTTTTTAAAATGTTTATATGTGTAAAATGATATGTGTTGGAATATTGAGAAATCAGACAATTTCAAAATCATGATATGTAGTTATATTTCTTTATATTCTTAAAGTTCCTCACTTTATAATAAGTACCAAATAAAATGTTGATTCTAAAATTACTGTGTGGTTCTTCATTTATTCTTTATGATCTTAAGAACCAACTTATCACCTTTCAGGAATGGAAAATTGAGAGGAAAGTTTGCATGGTCCAGTTAATATTTATCAAAATTTCTATCTTTTGTAGCTTTTCATTAATTTAAAAAACACCATAGATTTTCAGCTTCCAAATATAGGCATTGTTTCCCAATTCACTAAAATCTGTAAAAGTTCAGTATCTTGATTAGAAAGAAATCCTGTCATCCTTACGAGAAGACTGTTTTGCCTAATGTGCCTTTATAGACTGTGACCAGAAATGAACAATTCTTCCTTCTCTTTCCCTAATTTGTTAGGGTTTCTTATACATTAGTCTCCAAACTGGTCATTTTATGTGTAAATCTGAGGGGTATTCTGATTCCGCTTAACCTAGAACTGAACCAGAAAATGGAAAATGCCTTCTTTAAAAAAAAAAAAAAGTATATTTTTATTGATTTCAAAGAGGAACAGAGAGATAGAATCACCAGTGATGATAGAGAATCATTAATCAACAGCCTAGCGCATGCCCCCCACTAGGGATTGAGCCCAAA